TCATAATTAATGAAACAATATATGTACATTTTTATTAACTAATGTATGTATTTTATTCAGATTTTCTTAGTTTTTACCTGTCTTCTGAATCCCATCTGGATACCATGTTACATTTAGCTGTCATGTCTTCTTAGGCCCCTCCAGACTGTGACAGTTTCCCAGATGTCCCTTTTTCTAGTATTTATTTTTTATTTTATTGATTTCTGCTCTTTACTTATTATTTCTCTGTTTCTACTTACTTTGGGGTTAATTTATTCTTATTTTTAAAACTTCTTAAAGTGGAAATTTAGATAATTGATTTTTACATTTTTTATTTTTAATATAAGCATTTAAACTATTATTTCCCTCTAAGTCCTGCCTCAGCTTCATTCTACAAATTCTGATTTATTATTATTTTGTTAGAAATATTTTCTATTATCATTTGAGATTTCTTCTTTGACCCATGGATTATTTAGGAATGTGTTGCTTAATTTACAAATAGTTGGGATATGATTTATGTTTTTGTTATTATTTTCTAATTTGAAGGGATCAGTGTGTGGTCAGAGTACATATTCTGTATATTTAAATTTTTTTAAAATTTTAGGATCAAGTATATGGTCTATCTGGGTGACTGTTCTATGTGCTTGAAAAGAAGGTATAATCTGTAGTTATTTGGTATAGTGTTCTATAATGTTCGTAAGACCACCTTGGTTTGATACAGTTGTTCCAATTTTCTAAATCCTTGTTGAGTTTTGTCTAGGTGTTAAATTTACTAAGACAAAGGTGTTAAAAACCACCATGTTTTTGGATTTGTTACTTCTCTCTTTAGTTCTGCCAGTTTTATTCCACAAACTTGAAACTCTGTCATTAGAAGGATATAAATTAGAATTGTTATGTCTTCTGGATGAATTGACTCTTTTATAATTCAGAAATAACCATATTTATCTTTGATAATATTCCTTGTCTTAAAGTCTACTTTGTCTGGCATTAATATAGCCACATCTGTTTGCATGGCATATGTTGTTCATCCTTTCAACCTTTTATTTTCTACTTCCCTATATTTTTGTTTGAAATGTGTCTCTCATAAATACTGTATCGTTAAGTCTTGCTTTTTTGAATACATTGTGACAGAGAGTTTCCTTATACTCTCTCACCCCTACCCCTAGTTTCCCTATGTTTAACATCTTGCATTAGTGTGATACGTTTGTTACAGTTAATGCACCAATATTTACACATTATCATTAAAGTCCTTAGTTTATGTTAGGGTTCAATCTTGGTGCTATACTCTCTTTGAGTTTTGACAAACATATATCTGCCATTCCAGCATCATACAGAATAATTTCAATGCCCTAAAGTTCCCCATGCTCTACCTGTTCATCCCTTCCTCTCCCAAACCCTTTGCAACCACTGATCTTTTTACTGTCTTCACAGTTTTGCCTTTTCCAAGTGTCATGTAGTTGGAATTGTAAAATATGTAGCCTTTTGATATTAGCTTCTCTCACTTAGCAACGTGAATTTAAGGTTCCTCCATATCTTTTTGTGGCTCGATAGCACATTTCTTTTTATCACTAAATAATAGTCCATGAATATTGCATGTTGCAAATGGGGAATGAGTCCCTCCATGGGGTCTTTAAGGAGCATTCCAACATGACTGCAGAAATTATACTTAGAGACTCGTATGAAATTAAAGGTTTTATTATACTCACAGGTCCTAGAGAGGGAGGCATGGCATGCTACACAGCGGGCAACGTGGAAGAAATGCCAAGGGAACAAGCTCAATTACCCAGGCGTGGAGTCGAGAGTGAGGACCTGTGGCCAAGTGCCTTGATTAAGGGTTGAGGGAGTGCTCAAGCAAAAGGTGTGGGGGATTTCACTGGAATGTCACTAGGTCACAGTCAGGGAAGGGCAAGGAGGGGAACTTGTGGCAGGGACCAGCTTCATCACACTGGAGCACCTGGTCGACTGGGCGGGATATTCACAGCCAGTTTATTAGGAAAATAAGTTTGAAAAATTCATAGTACCTATTGCATGGATATTCCACAGTGTGTTTATTCACATCATCTATTGAAGAACATCCTGGTTCCTTTCCAGTTTTGGCAATGATGAATAAAACTTCCATAAACATTTGTATGTGAGGTTTTGTGTGGATGTAAGATTTCAACTCATTTTGGTAAATACCAAGACACACAATTGCTGGATTGTATGGTGAGGCTATGTTTAGTTTTATAGGAAACTGTCAAACTATATTTCAAAATGGCTGTATTGTTCTTGGATTCCCACCAACAATGCACGAGAATTCCTGTTGCTCCACATTCTAACCAGAATATGGTGCTATTAGTGTCTTGGCTTTTGGTCATTCTGACGGGTGTGTATCTAAGGGGCATCTCATTGTTTTAATGTGCAATTCTCTAATGATGTATAGTGTCAAGAGTCTTTTCAGATGCATATGAATGACTTCAAATGGCATATTTGCCATCTGTACTTTTTTTTTGATGAAGTGTCAGTTTAGATCGTTTGTTCATTTTTAAGTTGGATTGTTTTCTTATTGTTGAATTTTAAGAATTCTTTGCATATTTTGGTTGAATTTTCTTTAAATCAGCTATGTGTTTTGAAACTGTTTTCTCACAGTTTGTGGTTTGTCTTTTTCTCTTAACAGTGTCTTTCTTTAACAGAGCAGATTTTAATGAAGTCTAATTTATCATTTTTTTTTCTTTCATGGATCATGCTTTTGGTGCTGTATCTAAAAACTCATCATCCAATTCAAGGTTACCTAGATTTTCTCCTGTTATCATCTAGGATTTTTATAGTTTTGTATTTTACATTTAGGTCTATGATGCATTTTGGGGTATTTTTTGTGAAGGGTATAAGGTCTGTGTCTAGATTTATTTATTTATTTATCTTTTGCTTATGGATGTCCGGTTGCCACAGCACTATTTGTTGAAGACACTATTTTCTCCATTGTATTGCCTTTGCTACTTTGTCAAAGATCAGTTGATTATATTTGTGGGAGTCTATTTCTGGGCTCTCTATTCTGTTCCATTGATCTATGTGTCTATTACTTTGCTGGTACCACACTGGCTTGATTATAGTAGCTTTATAGCAAGACTTGAAGTTGGGTAGCATAAGTCCCCCAACTTTGTTCTTCTTTTCTATACTATGTTGTCTATCCTGGGTCATTTGCCTTTCCACGCAAATGTTAGAATCAGTTTGTTCATATCCACAACATAATATGCTGGCATTTTGATCGGGATTGAATTGAATATATAGATCAATTTGGCAAGAACTGATGTTGTGACAAGATTGAATTTTCCTATCCTTGTATGCAGAATATATCTCTATTTGTTTAAATCTTTTTTGATTTCTTTTATCAGAGTTTGTAGTATTCCTTATATATATCTTGTACTTTCTTTTGGATTTATACTTAAGTAATTTTGTTGGTGCTAATATAAATGGTATTGTCCTTTTAATTTCAAAATCTATTTGTTCACTGCTGGCATATTAAGAAAGCAATCAACTTTTGCATATTAACTTTGTTTCCTGAAACTTTGCTAAAGTCACCTATTACTTCTGTGAGAATTTTTTGTTGTTGTTGTTGTCTTTGGGATTTCCTACATAGGCAGTCACATCATCTGTGAAAAAATATGGTTTTATTTCTTAATTCCCAATATGTATACCTTTTATTCCCTTTTGATGTTGACTAGGTGAAAGTGGACATTCTTGGCTTGTTCTTGATATTAGAAAAGCATCTAGTTTTTCACCATTACATATGATGTTAACTGTAGGATTTCTATAGATGTTATTTATCAAGTTGAGGAAGTTCCCATCTATTCCTAGTTTGAGCATTTTTATTATGGATGGGTGTTGCATTTTGTCAAATGCTCTTTCTGCAGCTATCAATATTCCATTAGTTATTTTAATCAGTGTCTTGTTATTGGACATTCTGATTGGCTCTATTTTTACTATCATATATACAGCTTAATATCTTTATATATAATGTTTAAATTTTAAAATCATGTCTAGGATAAATTCCTTGAAGAGGAATTGCTGGGCCAAAGAATAGGCATATTTTAAAGCTTCTGATATGTTGCAAATTGCCTTCCCCAAAGCTTGTACCAACTTACATTCCCAAAAGCAGTAAATGAAAATGCCTACTTTCCCATTCTTTGGCCAATATTGGATATTATTATTATTTTTATACTTGCTAATTTTAAAAAACATGATATATGTGCATTCTTTGATTACTATTGAGGGTATTTTTTTTTTTACCTGTGGGTTTTCTGTTTTTTTTTTTTTTAAATAATCATTTGTTGACATATACATTGTTTGTTTCTTCACTAAGTTGTTCATGTGGAATTGTGTTAACAAAAGGTTTAGACCAGTCAAGTCAACTAGCTAGGTTTTATCTGAAGATTTCTCACTTAGGCAAAAGAAGAAAAGGTATATGACAGTGTAGTTTTGATGCAAATATTCTGATTAGTCATGAATTAATCTCTGCTGGACCTCTTGCAGTTTGCTTTTGCAAACTCATTCTCCATGAAGAGTAGAGTCATGGATTATAAAATATTGGCTAAAGGTGATTTTCGTGAGCCAAATGGTTCACTGAGGAAGGTGCTTTAAGTTCTCTGCATCCTTATGGTAATAAGATTAACACTTCAGATCTGTTTCTAAGGAAGAATTTGGAATATTCACTTTCAAACACCCCCCTTTTTGGTGGCAGCTTGAGGCCCATCACTTGCCTTTTTCAACAAAGCATTTAAACCTTTGAATGAATTCAGGGACTTTTGCCATCCCAGGGTAGTTAACTTTGTAATATGCAGGAAACCTGCCTGCTGGGGTGAGCATAGTTTTGGGGATAATTCTGGCAACTTGAGGATTGTTACCCCTCAGATTTATTTTGTGTTTACTACAGGAAACCAGTTCACTTGGCTCAGTCAGTCTTAGATGTCAACGCTGATAAATGACAGTGAGAAATGTCTCATCCTCGAAGATGAATTTAAAAGACGTTTGTTCTGGAAGGTTGCTGGCCTTGCCTTGTTTGAATGACTGTAAACTAGGAAGGACTCATCACTCCCTCGAGGCAGAAGGATGTATAATCCTGAGAAGCAAGTACACAGGAAGTAGTCAGGGATTAAAGATTTTATGGGTACGGAAAGCTTAAGAACAAAAAATATGAGTGACTCTGGCATATGCATCTTTGTCTCCAGAGAAATCTTCCCTTCTGATTGAACTTCCTGCCTTTGTACAAATATGTATCTCAGGAGTTGTGATCGAATATAGGAGCCTTTGTGCAGATCAGACCCTCTCCTCCTCCCTCTTTCCCCTCCCCTACCCTCAGCCTCATCCCCAAAAGATTCTCCCCAGAACCTTCCTTGGAAGTTCCTTGGCCAGGCCTCATTGTCGGGGAGAAGCTTGAGTCTCTCTTTAGGTTTCAAAGTCCCTCCCACTCCAGCAGGTGACTGAGAACACTTAAGTCAGTTTCCTGTCTCAGGTTAATAAATGTAATCTCAGACTCGGAGGAGATCAAAGGTAAACCCATTGAGGTGGACAGAATTAACAGTATTCTAAGGTGGATATAAATCATTTTGGCATCATGCTTCATTTGACATTTCAAGGCTGAGTCGATTCTCTTTGGCTTTGCCCTGAAGCTACTGTGATGGAGAGGGAGGCTGCTGGTTGATCAGTCATCTACCCTGAAAGATGGAAAAAGATGTTGGGGAGGGTGGGGGTGGACTCCAGACTTGGCAAGTTATAAATGAAGGTGAAGACATGATACCCTTCCTCTAGTACTTTATAATCTACTGGATGAGTAGGACAAACATAAATAATAGCAGCAAAAATAAAGCCAACAATAGTACTAGCTAACCTTCATTGCATACTTACCATGCAGCAGTTGCTCCAGAAATTGCCTAGAAGGAATCAGTCAATCAGTCCTCTTTCTGCTTGTGGTAGCTGCCTTCTCCAGCTCTCCCTGTGCTTGTGCAGAAGAACGTTAGATTATGTCAAATACCTCCACAGATCCTTTGTTTCCTTTAGGTGCCCTGGAACTGCTGCTTATGCCACAATTTGGGATGATCGCTCTCAGAGAGGCCAAGGGTTTTTAGCTTGGTTGGGTTGGGTTGGGTTGGGAGGAAGGCAGGGTGGGTGGGCTGGGGTCTGAGGCCTTTGGTTTTTTAAATCTCCTTTCTAAGGCTGCTGCAGTCCTGATGTCACAGTACAGGCTTGTCCAGTTTATCACAAAGAGCAATGGAGTTGAGTTTCAAAGCCCTCATGTTAGTTTTCTAGGGCTGCTGTACCATGACCACAAACTCGGTGGCTCAAAATGACAGAAAAGCGTTCTGTCTCAGTTCTCGGGGCCAGAAGTCTGAAACTGAGGTGTCAGCAGGGCTGAGCTCCTCTGGATGCTCTGGGGCATTCTCTCTGTTCTGCCTCTTCCACCTTCCAGGTGTTCCTTGACTTGCGTCCACATCACTCCAGTCTCGGCCTCCTTCTCCACTTTGGTGTCATTTCCTTCTGTTTCACTCTTAGAAAGACATTGTCAGTGGATTTAGGGTCCACCCAGATAACCCAGCATAATCTCACCTACAGATCCTTGACTTAATTACAAAGAGACTTTTCCCCCAAGTCACATGTCCTGGTTTTGGGATATGCACATATCTTTTTGGGGGCTACTATTTAGTTTACTACAGCTCTCTTTTGCTATGATCAAGTTATGCCATTGAAACTCTGCATCTCCATGCTTTTTTCTATGTTTTCATGGGTGTACAGCTACTGACTTTCTTCCTTCCCAGTGTGTGAAGTCACACTTTCATCTGCATGGCTGACGAGGGCAAGGGAATGTGGGGTGGGCTAGGGGAAGGCAGGAGGGTGTGGAGGGAGGAGACAGTGCTGTGAGCTCAGTCTCCCTGCGGGGAGGAAAGCTTCAGAAGTAGCTGAAGCAGGGAGTTGTGAGTGGGCATGAGTAGCCTCCATGTAAACATGTATGCACATATGTGTTCTCTCCTGGCTCTGCAGCTGGGAGCACCAGCCCTGTCTGCTTGGAAGGAGACACACATCAGGGAAAAAGAGGAGTGGTGGAAGGGAGCAGGAAGGGGGGTGAGAAAGGGAAAACAAAAAAGAAAGTAGTTAGGCTCTGTTTCAGTCCATTCATGTAGCTATAAATAAATCCCTGAGGCTGGGTAATTTATGAAGAAGAGAGGTTTATCTGGCTCAGGATTCTACAGGCTGTTCTAGAAGCATGGCCCAACATCTTCTGGTGAGGGCTTCCGGCTGCTTCCACTCATGGTGGAAGAGGAAAGGGAGTGGGTGTGTGTGCAGAGACCACATGGCAAGAGAGGAAGCAGCGGGGGTTGGGGGACATGGGGGAGAGATGCCAGGCTTGTTTTAACCACCAGCTCTTGCAGGAACTAATAGAGCCAGGACTTATTCACTGCACCCCCAGAGGGCATTCATCCACTCCTGAGGCATCTTCCCCCATGACCCAAACACCTCCCACCAGGCCCCAACACTGGGGATCTGATTTCGATATGACGTTTGGAGAGGACAACAATCCCAGTGATGGCAGGTTCTGTCTCTGCTTACCTGTGACAATAAAATGGGAAACCTCTGTTCTCCTTTAGAATGGGTTTCTTCTTTTAACCGACAAGAGGAGAAAGGGGAGCCAGGATCTTGAGAGCTATGGTGATCTGTGTGAGAGGAGAGTGCCCTGGGACACTCATAGTCATATTATACCAAGTGTGTGAAATAACCCCGGGGGGCTCCCAGACACGGTACCTTTGGGGGTACCCAGCTTGACGCAAGAGTGCGTCTTGAAGATCCAACCCCATTACATACTTGTAAATGTCTCAGCTAATGAAGCTCTGGCCTAGTCTTCTTCAAAATGTTATCACCGAGGGCAGGCCCAAGAACATGATAAGAATTTTTGCATTAAGGATGAATAGTAGCACTGTAGAAGCACTGTGGCCAAACAGAGATGTCACAAGTGATTCCATTCAAAGATGACTTTTCCACTGGGATGATGTATTTCAAGGAGGTGAATTATCTACCTGAAGGAAGGACAAAAATGCATTCTTCCTTCAGGCCCAGGAACTCAGTGGCTGGGTCACACAGGCAGACGGTCTGTCGAGTGCGGGCCCTTACGTGGTTTCACTGGAATTGGAATCTTCTCACTGAAATTTCAAAGGTTTAGTCTTTTCAGAACCTCAGCTGCCCCCCACCTACTCTTTAAGCTTGAATCAGAGAAAAGGGCGGGGTTCTGCAATTAGGGGCAAGGAATGCATTCGAAATTTGAATGGACAGGCCTGGCTACGTAGATGGGCTCACAGTTCCAGCATCCAAAAGATTTGAGATGTGAACACAATAAGCCAATGAGCAGTGACTCCCCCCAGGGTCAGGTCATGCATCTGCCATTAACATACACTGGACCGGACAAGAATGGCCACAGTAGTGTTAATGGCAACCGTACTTCAGGTCTGTTTACATGCCAGGCTGTGGAGTAGCCTTTGTCTGAGTCACCACAATCCTTTGCTAAAACACAACATCCAGGTGATCTGGGATCCTGGGGTCAGGCTGCTGGGCTCAAACGCAAGCATGGAAGCAGGGAGATAATAATTAGACCTAGAGTTTTGTGGATTAAATGAGTTAATGCATGTGGGAAGCCCTCGTACGGCACCTGGCACATTTTGAGTCCTGAACAAGTGTTGGTACTTAAGATCCTCACTTCCTATTTCTGATGGTGGAGCTCTAAGTCTCTCTACCCACAGTTTTTCTTGGCCATAGGCAATTCTTAGTTTGGAGGATGTGACCAGTGAAGGAAGCCTCTGGGGAAGTGATTTGGTTTTGTTATTCAGTGGTCTTGGAGGGAGACATTGATTCTGCTCATTAAATGTGACCTGACTCTGAGCTGGTCTCTCCCAGGCCTGCAGGCTTCCCTGGCCTGCCCAGCCACAGCAGGGGCCCTGGGGGAGTTGAGCTGCCCACCTGAGCCCAGGTTCTTCTTTGGCTCACAGAAGCCACAGGCTCTTGACTAGTTCACTGAGTCTCCTTAAGTCTCTTCGGGAACTCTATGGTGTTTAACTAGATCACCAATGAGTGAGCGCCCTCGTAGCTCTAAAATGCCATAATTCTAAGAGCAATTAATAATTGGGTTAACTCTAGAACTTTATCCATCACCAGCATTTGGCTTCTGCTGGGACTCTGTCAAGCTCAGTGAGGAACTGGTCTTGGAGATTCTCTCATGCCTTATTGGTCAAGCACAGGTAAGGCCTGGGACTGGTCCAGTTGTCTGGTAGGAGCACAGTTCTGAGGAGTCCAGATTCTGTGTAGCTAAGTGTTAATGGCCAAAGACTATCTGTAGCCTTAACTTTTAAAACTTCAGAGAACAGGGAGAGAATGTGGACTGATTAGAAAGAACTCAGTTCAATTGATTCATGAATAACTTGGGGAGTGACGGGCAGTCAGGCCATTTTATATTTTAAGCATAAATTAATTTACACTTGTGACCAGTGTTGAGAATTATGGAGGCAAAAAAAAAAAAAAAAAAGCCATAGCAGTTTACATCTGGGTGTGAACCCAAATATACCAAAAATGAGTGTGGTCTTACTGAAGAACTCCAGGATTTCTGGGCTGCATTTTGTGCAACGGACTAGTACCAATGAAATGGCCCTGAATGTTGTGTAGCAGTGACAGTGACCTAGAGGCAGACATGGATGTGGTCTCGGACTCCCCGCAATATCATAAAGACTCTAGAAGAAATGGCATCCAGACTTTGCCCTGCTGCTTTTAAATGCACAACCATCAAGATAGAGGGTTAACTATGCGCCTGTTACTTTATGGGATGTTGCTTCTAAACTCTATGCCAAAACCCTTCTTGATAAATTTGACAGGACAAAATGTTATTGTTAATATTTGTGGATTGTCTCTCCTTGCTAAAATGAGTAGATCCAGGGATTGGGATCTTTGGCCAGGAGTTATGGGAGTTTGTAGGCAGCAGCTGAATGAAGGGGAGAGACAGAGGGGCCCAAGAAGGATTTTGGGGGGCTGAGACACTGGGATCCTGGAACTGAGAGCTATAAGGAGAGAAAAAAGGACCCCTAGATAGAAGGCTGGGGGGAGACATCAAGATTAAATAGAGATTCAAAGAATTCACTGTGGCATATTCGATATAATACACTCCTTTAACTTCCCTATGAAATCTTTAGGAATCTCTAAATTGCACTATTGTTTAGATGGGGATGGATTCTTTCTGGAGAGTGAGGAGTTTTTGCTGAGCCCTGCATTCAGGCAGGCAGAGAAAGCCAACGTGGGAGCCAACAGGTGGATCACAATTGCTACTCCAACTTGAGGATCCTGTTTAGCGCACACACGCACAGCTGCATGGACCCCTACAGAGTGTGGTATGTGGGCATATATTTAGTATACTAACCTCCATTTAGTGCACACATGTTAACTGCACAGTCATGATTTTGCTGTACTCTGCTGCCCAGCTTTGTCCCACAGTTTGACCCTTATTTTGCCCTCCTTCCTGTTTCCTCACTTATTTTTTTTTTTAAATCCGGAAGTGTCCAATGCATCTTAGAACCTGTTTCTAGTCTTTTTGGATGGAGCTCCTGTAACTAAGTGCATGTCGTTTAATTGCAATAAAACTCTGCAGGTGCAATAACCAATGTCATTGTGAACAATTACCCTGTCAACACTGTTACGCAGACTGCTAACATAATTTTCCTTTCAGCTTTACTGTAATTGGGAAAAGAGTGTGATTACAAATACACATCAACCAAATGATGGCGATAACTACTGTCCCCTGATGTCCTGGCCATGTGACGCTTGGTGCCCCTTGATATCTATGTTCCTCTGCCATGAGGGATATTGCACATGGGTGACATTGTTTGTGGGATGAAGCATTCTGAGGCCAGGGCCTCCTTAATTTCCTTTGAGTGGAACTCCAGCACTTTGATCAGAAAAAAGCTATTTTTGCTCCAGCTCTGCTGAGCTAGATTCTATCTCAGATTATATTAAAGGAACTGCCTTTCTCCTTTTTTCTTTGTTGCTATGGAATAGCTTTTCCTCCCAGATTGATTTTTTTTCCCCTTGAAGAAGCCTCAACCTACACAACACTTGGTAGTAATTTAAAACGCGCAAAGAGCTGTAGCTTCTATTAGAGGCATAAAGCAACCCGCTAAGCGTCGTTAGGGGTCACCAAGGACTGTCTTTTAACTAAACACTGAAGTGCTATTTTCAAACAAAGCAGACTTCTCTCCTCTTTGGCAAACACTGATCTACTGCTCGATTTTTCCAATTATGGCCTGTGCTCCCCTCTGCCCACGAGCCTGCTAATCAGACTTCTATTAGTCTTGCTAGCTTGCACCCAGGGCTCCTGGCTGAATGCAGGCATCACAGAGAGAGGAAGGCGTGCTTTCACTGGAGTCCGCTTCCCACACTGATCTATGAGTCATGAATTAGATTGAGCTGCTAGCCTGCTGTGGAACAAAATGCATTAAGTGCCTGTCCCTCCAGATCTGGGGTGTGTGTGTGTGTGTGTGTGTGTGTGGTGTTCCCGTGTGGACAGGCAGGTCAGCAGCCGGAAGCTGGGCTGCAGGGCCCGCTGGGAGCGGCTAACCCGGGTGCAAATGCTGCTCTCACGCCGGCTCCCAGTGGGTTGTCCCTGCCTCGCTTCTTCTAGCACTGCCAGCTCGTGTGGCCATGGGGAACAGAATGGGGTTACTTTCGGTACAAATGTAATTCGCAAAATTCCATTTTCACTAAAAGAGCTTGCAAATGAGAGCTGGGCAAATGAGAAGTGGCAAACCGGTAAAAGCGCGTCTGGTTTTGGTGGTGGACAATTGCCTCGTACCTAATGATCAGGCATTGAGTTTCTGGCCTCCCCAGTCCGGGCAGGCTCCAGCTTGCCTTGCCTGTTTTCTCCCCAAGCTCTGCGCACCTGGCTCACAGCACCCCGATCTCATCAAACAGCCACCGCCCGTCTGCTGGTCTGTGGGTGCCCCCGGGAACGGCCGCCGGATCTCCAGCGTCTCCACTTCCGCTGGCACCCGGAAGTGGTTATTCAGTCTTTGCCGGATGTTTGTACAAGGGGGCGAGAGACCTGTGAGGTTCCGCGGGCTGACTCAAGAGGTCAATGCTAATAATTCTGCAGTTAAGTGATTGAGACAAGCTTATTTAATGCCTTCTGATGTTTTGTGTCTCCTGTGCACATCCTAATTCTCCACTGATTCCAGGACTCTCCTTTCCTCCCTTTGCCCAGAACACTGGGAGCCCTGGGGTCCCCCCTCCAAGCCCTGCTCTTTCTCCCAGGGCCCCGAGCCCTGCTAGGGAGAGTCCAGCGCCTGTGGACACCGAGTCACTGGGACCCTGGTGGGAGGCAGGGGCTGGGAGACGTGCCAAGTTATCTCACCTGGACCTGCAATGAGCTCGTCAGCAGTTCTCCCCAGAGACCTGTCATTCATGTATGTTGCGTCACGAGGTTATGGGTTGGAAGTACTTTTAGACGTCTAATCACGTATTGTTATCAATCCTTTCGTCATATATTGCGTAAGAAACTGTGCTGCTTGTCAAAGACTTGAAACATAGCAAACGCCTAGAGCATGCTTGAACTTGTGGAAAATACTGATGCATTCTCATTATTTGTTTTTAAGCCCAGCTAAGCCTCAGTTTTACGAAAAATGAAAATAAAAGCTTTTCTTTATGGTATCCTGAACATTAGAGTGGCGCATTATATTGACTAACTTCAGCTGACGCAAAGAAAGGAAGGGGAAAAAAAAAGAAGTGGCGAAGGGTGACTCATCGGCTCTCGGCAGCGCAATTACGCAGGGCACAAAGAGCCCGCGACGACGAGGGCTCTGCTGAGAGGCAGAAACAAAGAGCAGGGCGCTTAGGTGCAGAGGGTTTGCGTCCACCGGGCCAAATGGCCCTGCGTAGGTCGGTAATCATGAAAGCCTAGCCAATGGAGACGTGGGTCCTTTGAAGTTTCTTTTATTTCCTTCCTTTTTTTTTTCTTTAAGTGATTTCAATTATAGAGCAGCTCCTGTTTTTACAGTGTCCTGGGTGAAACCAAGAGCTAAGATTTTGAAATTCTGATGAATAGAAACTAGAAAAAACAGTCTAAAAGCTGCTAGCCATTTCTGTGAAAGCATCCATTTAGTTTTGCTGGAGACATCCTTCTGAATGAGCCCTGGGGTGAAACCCGTGTCAAAGCAGAGAGCCACTGTCTGGGGGTCGAGCTGGGAGGAAGTCTAAGCGGGAGGTGGGTGTCTTACACAGGGACACAGTGATCTGCTTGGTAATTTTTATCTTAGAGCATGGTTGAGGGGGCCATGTGGTGGCTTTCTGGTGGAGGATGAAGGGAAAGGACAGGTGGGTCATGCTTCTCTCTTTGGGGGACCACAGCAGACTGGGAACTCAGCAGCCATATAAGGCTGATCTGACACTCTGCTTGTGGTTGTTTCCCGAGTGTATATGTTCTATCTCTCTTCTGTAGCCTCAACACCATCAGTCAAGTCCTGTCCAAAATTTCAGTCCAGTCTCAGTGATCACTGTGGGGAGTTAAAGGAAGGGTCTTTGGCCATTCCTGGAATAATGAGTTAAGGGAAGAGCAGCAGCTGCAGGCTGAAGTGACTTGCACTGTCCCAGGGCCTGAGAGGAGGTCACAATCTGGGCCTGGGCAGCCTACCCTGGGGACTAGCCACACCAAGACTGATTTTCAGAATATGTAAGAATTCTTGGTGGTGATGGAGAATGTTCTGGAAAAACCTGGGAAGGGAAGTGGCGGTGGATGTTTAGAGCCAGTGAAGTTTGTGGTAGTCACAGCTCAACCAGCCATGATTATTTGGTTACCTAAGGGCCAGGTTTGGTTACCTAAGACCAGGTTTGGTTACCTAAGACCAACACTGTCACATAGCAGGGCAACTCCATTCTTTTCCCAGTGTTTGAATATACTCTGAATTTGATAGCTGTAGAGTTTGGCATCAGGATTTGGTCTAGTCTGTTTTGGTGTGTTAATGCATCACTCCCAGATCCTATATCAATAGGCGACTGATTGAATAGATTGTGACCACTGCATGGCAAGGTAATTATTTAGCTCGGTGACACATGATGCCTCCTACTCCTGAGCATCTCTGCGCAGGGCTAGCATTACAATGTGACTATTGATTGTTCACTCTGGGCTTGTTTGTTTCTAAGATAACCTCCCCTTTTCTTCTTATTCTCTATAGACTATACTTTGGCATCTTTTATTCCCCTTAAATTTCTAATTCCCACTTTCTCCATGTTGGAAAGGCTGGTCTGGTCAGGGTAATTTGATCCCTGAAGTCATTCCAGGGAGCAAAGCTCCTATCCATGGAGACCCATGTTCCCAGCCACCAGCTCTGCCAGAATCACCACATCAGAACAGGAAAGGCTGATGGTAGTAGATGCTACATAACTACCTCGTGGGCAATAATGATGTGAAGAATAGTTCATGTATATTGAACTGCTTTATGAAGGGCATTGTGCTAAGCAACTTAAACAGCGTGATCTCACCTGGTCCTTACAAAACCCCTATTTGGTTGAGACCATGTTATTGTTGGAAAAGAAAAATGAGATTAAGGAGATTTGGGTCCTTTGCCCAAGGTCATACAGATGGTAGGTGGCCTCGCTGGGACTCAAGTCTGGGGCTGCCGGACTTTATGGGAGGGTCTCGTATCTCACCAGTGCCACATTGTATGGGGAGGGTCCAGGCATTGGCGCCGCATCTGGGAAGGGTGTTAGAAATCCCACACCAGCCTTAGAAGCTGCAGAGGCAGCCGACAGCAGCAGCACCGTTAGGAAGACTACAAAGGAGGAGGACAGAACTTGCTAAAATACAGGACTGAGTCAGCCACTGTGTTTGTGCCACATTAAGATAAAATTACAGTCTGATCCACACCTTGGAGGCACAGGATGTGACAAAGTTGGAACATGACATGGGTTTACGAGAGTCACTATTTTGGGTGGTTGCCTCTTGTCAATCAGTCCCTCACCCTCATATAATCCAACAGTCCAGAGCCCCATCTTCCCCACCGTGGATCCCAGAAGCCCCCTTTCCACTCTACCTTGGCCTCTGCCCCACTTTCCAGTAGAAGTTACCTACCTACACCCAATCTTAGAAACAAGGCACATCCCCAAGGGAGTTGCCAAGAGGAGGGACTCGAAGTTCGGGACCCCTGTCCAGTTCCTTAGAGTAAGGGGGAGTGAGGAACATTCCAGGTGGAACACATCACTCTCCACCCAAGGGCAAGCCCCTCCTCGTGTACAGGCAAGTTCAAGGTCCCGAAGCTAAAATCATCTCATGTCATCACTTTTGTGTTTTCCCAGGAGGCAGTGGAAAGTGACTATTATGTATCCCCCACATAAAGAGATAAAAATGACTCTGGAACATGTTGTTTGTTTAAAAATAACATTAATGTTTAGCACCTGAATACGTACTGCAAGAGCCCCGGGGAAGAAAGTAACAGAGAAGTGTGACACGAGTATAAGCAATGACGGATTAGCATCTTAGCATCCTGCTGGGTTATGTAACACTAGATTTTTTTTTTTTAGGGCTCTCAGAAACTGGAAAAATGAAGTATGAGAAGCAGATCCCAAATGGAAATGAGTCATATTGATTACACACATACATGCACACGTGTGCATACACATATCTCAATTTTAAATCTTGGGGATTATGTTGGTAATGAATGGTACCTGTGGCTGTAATTGCAATGATTGTGACTCGTGGGCTGATTAAATTTCACCCACCACTCTTGGTCCTGCCAAGTCCTCCTGGGATGGTCTCTCAAAAGCCATAGTAACAGGAGGGTTGAAAATCTGCTACCTTCAGGAGCCAGGGACCTCCAGGATCCAGAAGGGGTCATTAAAAAAAGCCTGTGGTTTCAGAGATGCCCAATTAGCCCATTTTTACTCAGCAGGCAGAAGTGGCACCTGCTACATGAGGGTTGAGAGGTGCAGAGAGCCTAGTAGAAATCTCCCGAGGTTTGTTTCTTATTTTCTTGCTTTAAGTCTATGAACTGAGTTTGTTATTAAAAAACAGTTCATCGACACAAAGAAAGAAAACCAACCGAGACCTGCTATATCAGCCAAAGAGTCACTTTATCAATTAGAACATTCAAATTAGCAGAACATTTCATACATCAAAGAGTGGCCCGATCAAATGGATCAATGAGTTGAACTCTTGTTTTGCCACCTGCTCTATCGGTTCATCCTTGACCACAACCAGCTACGTGTTGCTCTCGGCTTGTGCTGGACCTTATGGCTGACAGTTTCTTTATCTCTTAACACATCTACTTTTATTTCAGAAAAAAAATTGCCTTCGACAGTTAGCTTCACCACCATACTTACCGTGAAGACGTTTTGGACAATTAGTGATGTCCTCCCAGAAGCTGCCTCTCAGTCTGTCCATGTTGGGGACTTTTAATTATTTAGCTGTAGATCTTCCCCAGTGCTTTCCTGATTGTGGGCTTCTCAAGGGCAAGACTGAATTTTGCCTTTGTATCTGTAGCACGTAGCACTTTACCTGGAACATGCCAAGCCGCTCAATGAACATTTCTAGAACAAATAATGAATAATAATAAATGAACCTTCTACCTCTGTCCCTGTTAAAATTATACACCAACTGGTGTTGTAAAAGGATATTACATATATATATATATATATATATATATATATATATATAATTTTTTCCCTGTACCTGCTACACTCTGTCCCTCTAAAGACGCCAAAAACATTTAACAGCTATGTTCTGCTACACAGTCATTTCCAGAATTTCCAGAATTCGTCCCTGTCCACTTACAGTGGTTGCGACCTTCCTATGAGACAAAAACAACTGAATCTATTTCAATCAGAGTGGGAGTAGGAAGAGGAGAATGAATCTATGCAGTGTAAACCAACTAATTAAAATAAAAGATGGATTTACACCTACTCTTACAGCCCTTTAAAAGCAAATTTCAGTGCTTATTCCAGTTGCTTTTAGCATTATCTTAAGAGGCACTTGAATCAACTTTCCTGAGCTGGAGGTGACACTTTATTCTTTGTCACAATCCAC